CTAAATAATAATAACATATATATATATATATATATATATATATATATTAATTTATGAATCACATGTAGGCGTATAATTTCCGCTGTAAACTAATTACACGATTAAACGACGTTTCCTTCGAAGAGGATGTTTTCATAGGATGAATTTTATCTATTGTTACCATTAACTCGCATAAATAGTGCCAGGTCCTTCCTGATTGTATTTCTGCCACCGTACACCGTCTTGAACGCGGCGTCGGAAATGGCTGTTTCAGAATTATTCCGTCAAATTCAAGAGAGAGAGAGAGGTGGTCGTTGGTAGGCAAGCCAGGACAAAACATCGTTCGAAACGAGGACCACGAAGCGCCGTACGTGACCAAGAGAAACGAAACGACACGACTCGCGTGCGTTTCATGGGGAATGCGTGACGAGAGATGCAACGAATCGTTCAAGTTTCTCGTAAACTACTTCTCCGTTTCTACGCCCTCGAAAAAGAAATCAATCGACTCGAGAAGCTGCCTTCAACGCGATCACGATTGATTACTTGAAATCTATTAAACCAAAGTGCAGGCCAATACTCGATTCTTCTTGTTTTTCTTTTTTCCTCGAAACAAATGAGATGGAAACTTTATTCTTGCTGCTTTTTGTATATAACACTTGCGCGAATGATCGAGACAAAAGTTTGATAAAATAATACGCACGTATAACGCATATTGAATGTCCTGCTAATATCGAGAGGAATCGAGGGACAAAAGTGTCCCTCTTTTATCCTTTTTTTTTTTCACGATCGCTCTCGTAATGGAAAATAAAAAAAAAGCACACGGTTTGATAAATAATTCATAGCGTGGATGCTCCCTTGAGCGCACGACACATACGAATTTCTTTGGACTTTTAGCCCCGCCATTATTTTCCCTTTTTCTTCCCTCTTTCCGTTTCTTTTTTTAGATTCGATTATTTTTCAAACAGCGTTTCATTCTCTTTGAATCCCGAATTCGTTCACGTGATCTAAGCTGTTTTCAGCCCTTAATCCCGGCCCGTTTAAAAATAATGCACGATGTAAATATAAAGAGAATCCGAGTACCAATAGTCCGCGCCTATAACTGTGGGTTCCAAAGTGTTATATCATATATACAATGGCAAGATGATCGAGGATAAAAGCAATATCGAAGAGACGAATCGAATAAATAAACCGCTAACCGGAACGATTAATGTACTACAAATGATATTAGCGTCGCTTGCAAAGCGAATGTTATAAAAGACACATACGTGTACGTGATTAAGTACTTACGGATTTCAAGGGAAGACCAATTGATCACGTATCCATGGATTTTTTAAACATTTCTTTCCTTTCTTTCCTTCGCATCATATATTGTCCCGTGGCTCACTTTTACGAGCTCCATTATCGAGAAAAAAGTCCGATTTCGTAACACTCAATTCCACGTTTCAGATCTCCGATTTTTCAATGTTTACGTTGGAGACACGTTTTTTCTTGACAATCGATTCACAATTTTAGAAAGATTCGTTAAAAAGTAAAGAAAGAATAGCATGGAGTTTAGTTCGTGTATCAGGTTAGATTCGAGCTAACCTCACATCACGTCCCATCCATGCGTCTCGAATGCCGCGAGAACACTGAACCACCGTTCGTCGTACGACCTCCCCACTATTTACTTGGTTGCTCGTCGAGTCTCTCGATCTCATACGCGTATACGTGTACACGCGGCCCCCGGTGTGGAAAAACCACTTTGCTGTTTTCCACGATTCTCCCTAGATGGCCGATAAACGACTCGTCGTATTTCTTTCGACCTGATCGATCGAAGATCTCTTCTCGTTATATCAAGCCTTTGATCGCTCGTAAAAAGTCGATCGACTTTATCTCGAAACTGACCAGAAAGATCTCGAAATGTTGTTTATCTTAGCCTTACTCCCCTTGTATGGGTAGTATTCATCGAATACGAACAATCGGGCGAGAGAAACGCATTTGTATATATCCAGCCGTTCTCATCTCGAAGATCTCGTCCTCGACAAAGGACGACCAGCCCCCTATTCGAAGGCCAAATCGTCCAAGGTCGATCATCTTACCGACCAAGCGGCTCGGTCGAGTTTTCTCTCCCTCCTTCTCTGACTTTCTCCTTCTTTCTCGCTCTCGTTTCGACATCGGTCGGTTCATCGAGCTGATGGGATTACGAAGGGGAACGAGTAGAGAGAGGAAGGAACTGAAGCATTACGCTTTTACGATTCGATTTTCCTTTGCTACCTGTTACACATATACCTGCTACACGTTATTGCAGGTGAATATGTATGATATAGAAGTATAAAATAACAAGAAAAAAAAAAAACACTTTAAAAATATAAAATTGAATATGAATTTCGAAGGTTCGAATCTCAAATAGATTTTAGATGAAATATTGAAACAAAGAGTTTGTCACGAATTAAAAAAATGAAACAGAGAGAAGAAACAGAAGCGTTTGAAGAGATGCAAAGAACTATCACGCAATTGAATACGTAAGAGTAAAAAGAGAATCAGAGGGGAGCGGACTGCCTAGAGGAAAGGAAAAAAACGAAGAAGAGAGAGTTCAAGGTCGGGAGGATGGAAGAACCGCATTTACCGTAGGAGTGGTCGCGTGGGGGGTCGATGCGTCGTAGCCTAGAGCGTATGTATATGCGAGAACGGTTTTGGGACGGGCGCGTAATCCGAATCCGAAACCAGTTTCTGCCCCATGGGTCAACCATATCCCCATCCCCTCCTCTTCGATGTCGTCTCTGCGTTCGATCCTCCCCCAAATATAGCCATCCTTTTTTTTTTTCAACACACCTTTCTTCCGTCAACATAGAATCACTAGTTTTGTTTCGATTATCGAAGTTATGTCGTTATACAAGATCGAGGAATTAACAGTGACATCGATGTTTTTTATTTTTTTTTCCATTTTTTTTTCTATAGTTAGTATCTGAAAAAGTAAGTAAAAATATTATTAACAAAATAAAAATAACAATTCTCTTTATTTTAATCGTGACCATTTTCTCATCATTTATTACATTGTTTTTTTAATCTTAATATTTGCAGTCTTCACACTGTTAGATTTTTCTCGTTTATTTGCATCGTGTCAAGTTCATTATCATGAATAACCTCGTGACTTTTTATCGGACTCGAACGAAAATATAATTAATTTTTCCATTGGCACGCGAACCGGTCGAAAAAATTTTAGTCGGGAGAATCGTTTCGCGATTCGAAGTAGCACGATTCGAGCGTATCATATTCTTCGATGGATCGATTCTTAGAATCACAGCAGCACTAATGTTGTCTATCGGAAGTTTGGATGAGATAAGAGAGTTATGCAATTACGGAACTAACGGAATATAGATTAGGTTTCAATTTAAGCGGCATACGCCATTGATATACATATATCTAACGAGTGATGTACTCGTGCGCACAACTATCCGTCGATGACGCATCGCACACAGCTAAGAAAAGGTAATGGTTCGAATGTAATACGACATGGATGGAACTTCGAAGGGGGAAAGAAAGGTTACCACTGCGCGTTTTATATAACTGTTCGAATAATCTCATTTTCTTGATTCTCTCGTTCACCGCGTGTAAGTAAAACATTATTTGCATATTGCGTATCGTACGAAAAAAATTCATTGAGAAAGCAAGAGGGAAACAGAGAAACGAAGAGAAAGAAAGAGAAGAAAAATAACTAAACAAGGATGAGAGGAGGAATCGTTGCCAGCATCAGTGTTGTGATATTCGTTGGAGCGATGTTGTGCAGGTTAGTCGATTGACAGGCCGGTTTCACGGCTTACTGATCGCGATGCATTTACGAAAGCCGGCTTTCTCCCTCGTTCTTTTTGTGCGTGTGAGATATAGCCGGGCCAGTAGTGCCAACGCAAATTTGTACTAATGCGCATTTCGATTGGCAGCAGCTCTGACGGACAAGTGTACATGGGAACGAATTGGTTGAAGGATCTGAACGAGAATATCAATGCGTTGAACAGGAATATACAACAAAATATGCAGCAGTTACAACAACGAATACATAACACGGTGCAAAGCAACTTGGAACGTGCTCATCGATTGACGGAAAATCTAGGTACGCGATTCGGTGTTAAATTTTTTCAATTTCTTCTCGACTCGTTATCTGGAAAATTATTAACCTTATTATACCAATGCAAACGTTCCTTTCACTATCAACCGAGAGATCCATTCTCTCTTTCTCTCTCTTTCTCTCTATCTATTTTTCAAGGCGATCGAACATTTTTTCCTAATAATAACTATACGCAATCATTTTGCGTTTTTCGAAATTGGATGACGTAATTTTTTTTCAGCCAATAATCCTAATACGATCCAAATGATTGGAGGAAGCAGTGTCATCGTATCGAATAATGATGGAACCAAGATCGTCCAATCTGGTCGCACTTCCGATGGAAAACCTTATATCCGTGAAAGCACGGACAAAATTATAGGCGACACTCTTCAACATATTGAAAAAATTTACGACCCCATTACTAATACTTCAAAGATGCATGGCTATACGTTGAATTTAAAGGATCCCTCGGCTAAACCTGTTCCGTTAAACGACACTGTGTAAACGATGCCAAGGAAAAATGATGCTACTACTTATTCCTTATATTATTTAACAATAATCATTTATCTATCCAATATTTTATTTCCAAACATGTAAACGATAATAAAATGAGTGAATAATCAAGTTTTTTGAAAAATTTTGTGACTTCGCGAAAAATTTCACGGTCCGAATCCTTGTTTAATACTGTTTAAAATTTTTTTATATGAGAGCTTTTTCCTCGCGAAAAATGTGTTACGTGAGTGATAAAGGTTTCGCGATTATATATATATATATATACCGTATTAAAGTGGCGCCGAGAGAGGAACGAGAGATTCCACACGGGGTACCTTAAATGGAAATGCCCCTGGCTTGTCCTCGATTTCAAGCTCTTCTCGCCTTCTCTTTCAACGCGTTCCTCCTGTTTCTACCATGCCAAATCCCTTCTATCTTTGCCCTCCTCTTTCATTTTCCTATCTCTTTCTTTTTATCCCCACCAAACTTATTGCCATTCGCACACTTTCCATTTACCATAAAACATTTTTCACGATCCCGTCGGTGAATTGTGAAGATCGATTATGATTTATGTATGAGAGTACTAATCTGCAAAATGAAAAAAAAGTTTCAATGTTAATTTTTCTCTTCGAGTCAAAGCATATACAGATATTTATATTCGATTGGAATATTAAATTTGTTGGGATATTAACGACATATAAAAAATGTATTGAATAGACTCTATTAAGATTTTTAATTAATGAGTTAGGCAAGAAAGGTAATAAAGTTAATCGAATATTGCCGCCGTCGTTCCAGCGCATGAATATTCTGGCGCAAGGATAGACAAGGAAAGCATATAGGATGAGAAAGATAGAGATAATGTAAAAATATTGAAATCAGCGCCATCTTCAGAGTGCCGCAAATGAAACTCAATATACAAGGACAGCAAATAATAAGAAAAGGATAGAGATACGGTAGGAATTGACTATCAGTGCCATCTCTCGAATATTGAAGACACCTCTTTATAAGTTGGATAATGTAGAGTAAGAATTCAAAGTTAGCGCTATCTTTTAAAAAACATTATGGCGCTGATATTCAATTCTTATTCAACCTGAAAAAGTGTCTACGATAATCGAGAGATGACACTGACGATAAATTCCTATCTTATCTCTGTCCTTCTCTTATTATTTATTATCCTCAATTATATTGAGTTTCATTTGCGGCACTCTGAAGATGGCGCTGATTTCAATAATTTTACCCTATCTCTGTCCTTCTCTTACTATTTGTTTTCCTTGTCTATTCTCGATTCAAAAAATTCAAAAGATGACACCAATATTTGATTAACTTTATTGTTTTCTTTGTCTATAACATTAATAATGGAAAAATAATTATTGGTAAGTATGCTAATATATTTTTAGAATTAAGTATTTTTAGAATTAAGAAAATAGTTGAAAAACATTTAATATCGTATAAAATAATAGTAAAAGGTAAGTAATTACATATTACACTTAAATTTTATAAATAGATTATATTTTTAATCTTTATTTCAAAGATAAATGATTATCTTTACATTTAATTACATTTTCTCATATTCCAGCAATAGAGTTGTCGTCTCATTTCATTCTAAATCAATAATATCGCATGCGACAAAATAAAATATATATATGGTACATGGAAATACAATATTGTATATAATATATGACAATGTATAAAAATATAAATGCATTCTTACACATTCCAGTATGAATCAATGAATCAGTTTCACGATATTAGCGCCTTAATGTTAGCAAAACGAATAGCGCCTGTGTACAACTGGATTGCATATTGCAGCAGCGCACGCTTATAAACGAGCGCTCTCGATTCGTTTCCGCTATTTTCTTCGTTCCGTGATTCACGATCGTTCTTTCTTGTGATTAATTTTAATTTGTTCAAAGATGCAGATCAAAAGAGAAATAATATCACCAACATTACATCTTTTTATTTTTTACATCGTATTGTTCGTTCCATCTTCCACTGAAAACAGAGACGCAACAGGTAAGTGATTTTATTCGTTTTCTTGCAACGATTGTTCGTAAATAACACTCTTCATTTTTTCATTGCATTGATGAAATAAATTAATTCTCACAGCAAAGACGAAATGTCCTACTATTCCATAGTAGAAAAACTGAAATCTACTTTTCTTTCTCGAAAATGTTATTTTAAGACAAATGTGCCACTTTTCATTTCAAACAAATCGACACAGATCTACGTTAAACATTTTTTTTTTACATCGTTGTTGAGCGAAATAATCGTATCTCCCAAACAAGAATCAATGCCTACTGATATATTCCTATCTATTGCCAACATCCGGTCGCTATCTCGTATCATTTATATTAATAACTTCAGAAAATTTCGTTCGAGGAAAGGATGATTTGTGCACCGGATTAAATAACGAAGCAGGGCGCTGCGATTATTTGAGACAATGTTTTTATCACGAGTACGAATCAAATTTCACGCTCGCCGAGATGCACTCATGCACGATAGGAAAAGCGTAAGTTTGAACAAACTTATGATCCAAACTTTTCTCATCATCCTCGTTAATTTAATTAAATCTCGTTAAATTAAATTCAAATACAGATACATGGGCATTTGTTGCTCGAATCGTTGGAACGGAATGTACAAAAAGGATACGGAGGATCAAAGTTTCGCCAAAGTTCTTCCGTTAATTGCGGGTACGTGCGGACACAATTCGATTAATTTGACTTACGTATACTTACATGTAATTGATTTTAGTGGACAGTAAGGAAAAACGAAACGAGGGCAGGATCGTTTGGACGGAAGAAGAGGGCGCGTCGAGCTCGTCTCGAAATCCGCAAGTGTCGAGAGGATGCGGGACAACGTTGAAAAGTCGGGGCAGATTAGCCGGTGGTAGGCCGGCCGATCCGACAGAATGGCCCTGGATGGTAGCTCTCCTCAGAGAGGACAAGTCTCAATACTGCGGCGGCGTCCTCATCACGGATAGACACGTTTTAACCGCGGCTCATTGCGTCGATGGGTAAAATTAAAAATTCCACAAACTTGATATAAATCTTTCTCGATTTAAAATTTAGAAATTGTCTTTTCTTCTTTCAAAAAAAAAAAGTTTGAAACCTCGAGACGTGAGAGTGAGACTCGGCGAATACGATTTCCAGTCGACAGAGGAGACGAGAGCTTTGGACTTCTTCATCGTTGAAATTCGTATCCATCCTGATTTCGATACGGCCACGTACGAGAACGACATAGCCGTGATCACGATGCACCGACCGACCATTTTCGACAGTTACATCTGGCCGGTGTGCCTGCCACCTGTCGGTCGATCGTTCGAGAACGAGAGCGCAATCGTGACGGGGTGGGGCACTCGATATTACGGAGGACCAGCGAGCACGGTTCTAATGGAGGTCGGTGTACCGGTATGGCCACGAGACAGATGCACGAAAAGTTTCGTCCAACGAATTCCCAACACGGCTATTTGCGCCGGGTCTTACGAAGGTGGAGGCGATTCTTGCCAAGTAAAAAAATATTTATTGTCGGTACAAAAGATCACGAAAGACGCGAGTCTTTCTCTTTTCTCTGATGAGGTTATTTTTTTTTTCTTTTTCTTTTTCTTCTCATCGTATATCATATAGGGTGATTCAGGTGGGCCGTTATTGCACCAACTTGAAAACGGTAGATGGGTGAACATCGGGATAGTGTCTTGGGGAATCGGATGTGGAAATCGAGGAGTTCCTGGAATATACACCCGGGTCAATTTCTATCTCGATTGGATACTCAAGAATGCTGTGTTCTAGGCTTGAACATCTCTTTTCCAATGATTGCGTTTAAAATAGTAAATATAAATTAACGAAAATTATATCATTCTCGTTTAAAAATAAATTAAAAGTAAGTTAAAAAATTAAAGATTCGATTTTATCTATCGATTTCAGCGGAAGAGATACGAATCGTGGAAACGAAGAAACTTTATTTTCCTCGAATATCAACTGTTACATCTGTTCAAAAAAAGAGATTGACACGAATAGAGAGAAATTCGACGTTGCTTGACGTTGCGCTAATGTGTTTTGTATACTTTCATTTCTTTCACAGCGTGAACGCGCATATAAACAAGAAACGGGCGCGTATGCACGACTACGTTACGCGACTAGTTTTTCCGCATAACAAATAAGCAGATTTCGAAGATTCTTCGATTGAATTTCCATTGTGTTTCGCAATTGTGACTTTCGAACGAGGTCCAGCCTCTCTTTTTCTTTGTACACCGACATATACATAATGTAAAACTTTAACTTTGCGTGAGTATATATGTATGTGCGCACGCTTATGTGTTACGTGTAACTCATGCGTGAGAATCTAACGTACGGAGTATCACAAGTTAAAACAGGTTGCCTGATTATCTTCGACGCGATAAAAAAATATTACAAACGAAATTTAAATGCTTGTCAATGGACGAATATGTCTTAATGTCGAATTCCAAAGGTTTTCTTCGGAATTTTTAAAATCACGGATTTTGTTTAAAATACGTTCCTCAGTATATGAATAATACTGTAGAAGATAATTAGCTAGCCTCTTTTAACATGATTATCTTGTATATATATATATATGTATGTATGTACATATCTTTTATCAACATGGGAACGCGCAAAAATTTACTATTTTTTTTCTTTTTTCTTACATTTCTGTTCGATTGGTTATCTTTGAAATTTATTTCAGATAACTTTCGTTTCTCGACAGAACACTTTTCGATCGAATCGCGAAAATGAATAGCGCTCAACAACATAAGCTGTAAATGGAACGAGGAGGAAGACAAAATATTCGATCGATTTTTCCCGACTTTCCAAGCTCTTCAGTAGCTTAATTAAAATTAATTTTCTCGTATTGCACGCTTCCATATTTTTCAATCGATTCCTGCACGCGCTAAATTTTACTTTACATGTCTCTCTTCTCGAATTTCGATGAACTTTTTTTTTATTAAAAAGCATCGATCCTTGGAAAGTATTGGCGTTATCCGTCGAAATACGAGACGAATACTTGCAGAAAGAAAGAGAGAGACAGAGAAAGAAGAAGAGTGAAAGAATGGCATGAGAAGAAGGGAGAGAGAGACAAACTTTCGACCCTAGGAACTTATCTATCGCGAGGACAGAATTATCTACCTTCTCCTTCGAGGTGCATGTTGGTCCCTCCTTCCTTCGATACAATAAATAACGATCGTGTTCCCGTAACGCTCATTTTTTTTTTTTTACTTCGAAAGAAATTCTTTCGAACATGTGGACCCAAATTTCGATCGGATAATTACCGATCCGAAAGTTAATCAGCTGCTACTCTACATGATGATACACGTATATCGAGGATGATTTATCCGACGGAAGATCGCAAGGTAAATGTGTGAATAAAAGAACGAAAGAAAGGAACTAAACTCTCGAAGCGGGTGTCGTGGGTACAAGGAGGGGTGCGCTCGAACCGCTTTCCGTGTGATTCGCCACGCTTTCGCTAGCTTGATAGGGCCGTCGCCCCTGTGAAACGTTGATCGACGATGTCGAACCGAGAGAATGATTACGAGACGGTGAAGCGGACGAACCGTTGCTTATCGTGCGAACGCGACTCGTTAAACCGTTTCCCTTGGTAAATGTCTCTCCACCTTGTCTCTCCACCTTGCCCTCGTCCTTGCTACCGTCGTTCCAATCTCTATTTCTTCCACCTCCACCTCCGCCTCCACCATCTTCCTTGCCACCACCGCGGCCACCATCGCCACCACTTCTATCCTTGCTGCGATTCTGCAATTCCAGACTTCCGCCTTGACCACCAACCTGTTGTCGATGCTCTTGACCTTTCTGCTGACTCGACTGTATTCTTTGCTGCTCTTGAACCCCCTTTTGCGCCGCTCGATGATTTTGTTCTTGACAATTCTGTTTAGATTGAATCTCGTCCGATTTCGATTGCACTGTTTGATAAGTAGCCACGTTTGCACGATCTTCGTGCGATCGTGGTTGATCGATCGACACTTGATTGCTCGTCGTTGTCATGGATGTTACTGTTGTCATCACCGACGACACGGTGATCGTTTCCTGAACATTGCTACCCAGTAGTTTTTCACCGATCAACCAGTAGGTTGTCATCGTACCTTTACCCTGTAAATAAAACAGAAAATTTTGAAATAGGAAGCATAGATACTGGATGAGTCGATGATGATAAATGATAAAATTTTAAACCTTCAAAGTAACCTCGCCTCTACAAACGAGTTCAAACGTCCCAAACGTATCTAAAATTTCTTTCGTCTTCGGGCTGACGTGGATTTTTAGAGCTACAAATGGAAAAAATACATATTTTTAAAAGATCTTGGAAAAAAAAAAAGATAAACCATACATCGCATTACCTTCTCCATTACTTTCCATCCTGGACGCGGTGTTCACAGTGTCCCCGAATAAACAGTACCTGGGCATCTTCAGACCAACGACACCAGCCACGCAAGGCCCTGAAATCACGACTAGTCTTTTAAATACGTGTTTACACGATTCGTTGTTTCCTTGCGATGCAAGGAGAAGTAACAGATATAAAGAGAAAAACATTGTCGAGACATCTTTACCGGAATGCATTCCAATTCGAAGCTTTAATTGCTCATTTGGCCTGTGACGTATTCTAAACGTCATCACGGTATCCCTTAACGCTAAACTCATCTTCGCGATTTCCCTGGCATGATTCGTCCCATTCCTCACCGGTAATCCTGATACCACCATGTAAGCGTCGCCTATCGTCTCCACCTGGAAAGGAAAATATTGTGAAAATATTTATATATACTAATTTGCACGTGTGAAGAGTGATGTTTGTTTGAAAACAACATTACTTTATAAACATCAAAATTTTCTATGATAGAGTCGAAACACGTGTACAGATCGTTCAATAAATCCACTACTTGAAGTGGTGTACTCTCGGCCGAGAGTTTCGTAAATCCTACGATGTCGCTAAAGTAGATAGTTACTTGATCATAAGTTTCGGCTATCACGCTCTGTCCAATTATCAACTGGGATGCGACAGATCTAAAAGAAAAAATTTTACTCGACAAAATATTCTTTCTTGAAGAAGAAATCACGAATAACGATTATCCCTTCATTTACTTTGGTAACAATTGATACAGAAGTTCCTCGCACTTGCGTTTCTCCTCCAGATAATCCGCTGTACGTTCCTCCACCAACGTTTCTAAATTCGTCGCATATTGCTCCATACGAGAGAGCAGATTATCGAGAATGTTGCTGCTCTCGTAGTCTCTGAAATCGTATAAAATATATGATAAAATCGAGAGTTCAATAGCAATAACAATAACACAAGAAACTCACTTGTTAATTTTCCTTATGGTCTGCTTGAGCGCGGGAAAATCTGGTCTGTCTGCGGCGTCTTGCGCCCAACATTTCCTCATCAAGGTAGCCACCTGCAAGACGTATCAGGTTTCAGTTTATCGCCTCAGTTAAACGCTCTGAAATTGCGCGAGCTTACCTCTTCCTCGACCGCAGCATCGTCGATCGCGGGTCTCAACGGAGAACCACCGCCTCTTTTCACTCCTTCCACTATTTCTGAAACAACAAAGAGGAAGAGAGGGAGAGAGAGAGAGAGAGAGAGAGAGAGAGAGAGAGAGAGAAGAAGCTACGAAGAA